GGAAGACCAAAGAACACATTATGTCGAGAAGTGGATACAGATATGAGAATAATGAACAACAATTTGATAGAAGTAGAAAGGGAGGTCGAGGACAGTGTGAGTTTGTTAGAAAATGCTGATCGGTAGCCTTTGTTCCATTGGCGGGGTGAGGGTAACATGTGTAATTAATTAAGTAATCAAGTAATTAATTAAGTAGATAGGTAATTAAGTAAGTAATGCATTGAATGTTAACCCAATCATGATTCTATTCTCTTTGAATAGATTGTTAGTACAATCTACTACCTCTGTTTTTAAATCCATCATGATACTCATTAAGTTGTCATGACTTTTATCTTCATTCATTCATTCATTTTATAGTTTTTATTGCTCAATTTGATATGGTAACTTAAACATTCCTTTTCCTCTGCGTAATTTAAAATTAATTATAATCACGAAGGGTTTTTTTATGGAGATTTCAGTCATTTCAGTAGTTGAATTGATGAGTCAATTGAAGCTAGATCACCATGGAAAACCTGGATGCACTGAACGACCGTTTCATTTTAGTATGAAACTCCTCAGCAATGTACATCCATGATTCCACCTCATGGGATTCGAACCCAGAACTTGTTGGTTTTGTGCACGAACTCTAAACTTTTAGACCATTGATCTGACCGTCATCCAATAATGTTAATGTCTAACTTCAACCATCATTGCACCAAAATTGAGCCACTCTCCACCATTGTTTTCATCAATGAGTTACTATCTCATAACAGACACGGTTGTCAGACATTATTTTAATGACAAAATATAAATAGACTTTAATCAATAATTTTTTTCTGTTAATCTGTAATTAATAGTTTTGTTAGAAAAACAATCATTTGTATCTATAAAATTAATTTTAATCACCCCCATTGTACAAGTTAGTTGCTATCTGGACTTAATAGTTAAATAGATGAAGTGATAGTGTTTGAAGCGAATGGTACTGAGTTCGAGTCCAGGAGTGGACATCAACTCTCTGTGATGTAAGTAGATCTAGTTGACCAGTCTCAAATTATCTTTATTTATAGATTGTCAGATTGCTTAGTTATTGTCACTAATTGATAATAGACAATGACTGAAAATCTAGAAGCACTGGATAACTATGTTTGAAAAGTGTTTAAAACGAAATAGTCATACAATCTCTTTGTATTTTCAACCATTGACAAACTAAAATGAGTTAATGAGATGAATCTAAATGTCTGATCCACATGGCGGTGGAGCATTGTAAGGAGATACAGTCCCATGGTGACCGGTGATCAACTATTGGTTCATACGCCATTTGTTCCATCAGGATACTAGAGCCTATGTACACCACTGGTTTGGAATCAGGATTTTCCAACTACCCTAGGTGGACCCTACATGTCCACAGGCCTGATTAAAGCGCCTGACATTCAATTTTCGTCCTCTCAATTTCATAAACAACAGTAATGCAACGAGAAGGCAGTGAGTAGGACTTGTGTGGCAGAAGCTATATACGCGTGGCCATACGAGAGCATTTGGAGAGGGAGAGCTATCTCTTTCCACTCTCGGCCGTACCAGGGCATTTGAAGACAAAGTGCTCACAGCACGCGGTCTCGCCAAGACTCGAACTCGGGTTGCTGGATTCAGAGTCCAGAGTGCCAACCGCCACATTAATTGACTGTTGTGCACAATCTAATAATCAGACAGTAGGATTACTGTCTTTACGATGGATTTCGTGAATTGATCAACAGTCTTAAACTAATAGGATGTCAGTTATTTCTACATACATTCGGCATCTAATTGAAACATTAGAACTGTTATTAGTACTGGATTGGTAGGTGTAATGTTGTTTAACCCATCAAATATAACATAACAAAATCGTTATTCCGAACATTAACTTATATAACTTTGTTCTTATAATAAAAGAATGACATATGAAGACGACATTTATAGCTTTGGATCCACTCAGTTCTTATCGGTTCACTGTATAGTAACTTCTTGTCTAACTCAGCCCATTCAGTTCAGAACACAAATATCAGCTCCGCTATATAGACCATATATATTAGACATACACATAGTTTACACACAACCAGAATAGATCACATCAAACGATTAAATGAAAAATAGCCGTTATACAAAATCAGGCCAGAAAGTGGCAATGAGTGTAAGAGACTGTAACTAATAGATTGAGAATAAATTAAGAATAGTAAATCATATAACAGTAACCAATAGGTTAAATTAAATCTTATAATAAGAGAAATATGAATATACATATAATCTAGCTAACATGGTGGTTTAATGTAGTCAACAGGAAACTGTGGACATTGGTTTTGTGCTATTTGGCACTGGTCAGCAAGGTGTACCTGTAGTACACTGGTACTCATTGATGCATTCGATCCCGTGTCACCCAGCTTCACAGTCAGAGATGGTACTACTGGGTTATCCGGGTCGCGATTGACCTCCTGTAGGACTGAGATGTATTAACGATTGATTGATCATTAAGTGGTGATCAATATCATGTGTGTCAGATCATTTTTAGTCTAATCCTATCGACCAAGTTTCAATGTGACCACTAGTCTAGGTGACTTGAAATTGTGTGCATTATGTTGAGATAAGATAGTGATTGGAGGTAGTCAGCAGGAAATCGCAGACATAGGTTTTGTGCTACTTGAAACTCATTATCAAGGTGTACTTGTAATCTTGAGAGCCTGACGCACACGACATTGATCACCACCCAGTGATGAACCAATTGTAAATATAATCTAATTACTTAATAATAATCCAATAGGAATGTTCTGTAGTAGTAGTCAATAGGTCAAATGAAAGCTTATAATAAGAGAAATATGAATATACGTATGATCTAATACAGTAACATTTTGTTTTAGTGAGTTCATTTTCTACTGGATAAGGTCACTAACCCTATGTCCAACTCTTCTCCTTTATCTCGACTTTAGATTGACAGTTACTTCAGATCGTCTCTAATTGTAATTCATCATCTAATTACTTAATGACAATTCATTCAAAAGTTACTCATAATTTAAACAACTTCAACTAAACAACTATAGATATTTCAAATGTATTCATCATGTCTTTGAACTTATGACGCCCACAACAACAATTCCAACAACAACAACAGCAACCAGAACCTTGTTTAATTCAGAGTCTGTTCGACTTTATGAGTGGGGTCTGTACAGGAAAAAAATGTGGTTCAGATATTTGGTGTTCTGGTAATACATTGATGTATGATTCTGTCTAAGTGATCTACAATCGTGAACTCTTGTATTCTAATAATTGCAAACATTTAAATCAAACATAGCTTAATCCAATTCGAAAGAAAATGGTTTCTCAGTATATCAATCCGTCTAAATGAAGTTTTCGTGCTCTAACATATACCAGGTTTTCTGAGTTAGTGGAGGTGCCATGATAAATGTCCCTTGAACTGAAACTTGATGATATGTGACAGAACAGAAAAACTGAACATCGATTTCATACTGTCCCAAATGTTTGGTACCCACGTAGAGATGTGGGTCAGAGAGAAGCACAAGTGATAAGATAATGAAATTTTAAGCGAAATATTATCTGTTAATCTCTACAAAAGGTTAACTTTTAATACCAATAATCGATTTTGAACGAAATCTAAATAGATTTAATGTAGAGTCTATGCAAAATACTTCAGATCCATTGGCCAGACATTATCAGCAACAACCTACTGTGAGACAGAACAAACCAGAACAAGCCAGTGGAGTAAGAAATCAGGAAGAAGTGTTGGAAGTGTATAGAACACACATCGAGAAAATCACCCTGCTGCGTCGTAAGGCAATCCCTCATCACTTGGAATCTTCAAAGCCAAAGAAGTAGAAAAAGAAGACCAAAGAACATATTACGTCAAGAAATGTTGGATGATATGAGAATAATGAACAACAATTTGATAGAAGTAGAAAGGGAGGTCGAGGACAGAGTGAGTTGGTTGGAGAATGCTGATCGGTGGCTTATGTTCCATTGGTATGGTGTGGATAACAGGCGTAATTAAGTAAGTAAGTAAGTAAGTAAGTAAGTAAGTAAGTAAGTAAGTAAGTAAGTAAGTAAGTAAGTAAGTAAGTAAGTAAGTAAGTAAGTAAGTAAGTAAGTAAGTAAGTAAGTAAGTAAGTAAGTAAGTAAGTAAGTAAGTAAGTAAGTAAGTAAGTAAGTAAGTAAGTAAGTAAGTAAGTAAGTAAGTAAGTAAGTAAGTAAGTAAGTAAGTAAGTAAGTAAGTAAGTAAGTAAGTAAGTAAGTAAGTAAGTAAGTAAGTAAGTAAGTAAGTAAGTAAGTAAGTAAGTAAGTAAGTAAGTAAGTAAGTAAGTAAGTAAGTAAGTAAGTAAGTAAGTAAGTAAGTAAGTAAGTAAGTAAGTAAGTAAGTAAGTAAGTAAGTAAGTAAGTAAGTAAGTAAGTAAGTAAGTAAGTAAGTAAGTAAGTAAGTAAGTAAGTAAGTAAGTAAGTAAGTAAGTAAGTAAGTAAGTAAGTAAGTAAGTAAGTAAGTAAGTAAGTAAGTAAGTAAGTAAGTAAGTAAGTAAGTAAGTAAGTAAGTAATACATTGAATTTTAACAATTCCAACAAAAACAACAACAACAACAACAACCCGAACCTCATTTAATTCATTAACAAAGTGAAATACCGACTAAATCATCAAAGTTAAATGGTACCTTTAAAAATTCACTGGTTGAAATTATGAGTCAATTCAAGCTAGATCAGGATGGAAAAACTTGGAAGCTTTGGACGGCCGTTTCGTCCCAGTATGGGACTCCTCAGAATTGCGCATCCACAATCCCGCACTCCACGAGATTCGAACCCAGAATCTTTCAGTCTCGTGCCAGGCATTTAACCTTTAATATTTATTATCATAACAAATCAAAATAGATAGGAAAAGAAATAATATTCTCCCAAATAATCTGATTGGTTGAAATAGATGATTATTGTTTAGATGGGATTTGTCTATTTGTGTATCTATGTCTATATCTATATATGTGCATGTGTGTCTGTGTGTATGTTTGTACGTTTGTAGTGGTGTTGATGTTCTCTATTGAAAAACAAGTTTTTTTAAAAATTAGTTTTATGGTATTTCTCTTTTTTTTTCTTTTTTCTTTTAAAAGTGAAAATCAACAGAATTCACCACCAATGAAATAATAGTCTTCCTTCATGGAATCTGATCATGATCTGATGTAAAAGATCATTCTTGGAAAAAGATTATCCATTCACTGATTCTCATTACTTTATCTTATATAAACTGATAATGATATTTCCACAATTATTTCATAAAAGATAATCTATACTATTGATTACTTCAATGAATATCAAGATCATATCAAGAACTGAATTGTTGAATTAAACTTTAATTCAAACAAAACATTGAATACTGAAAGGAATCTAGTGAAACAGATCATATTCAATTTAAATACTTCATTTATACATGACAGAACAAATACCATTTCAACGTACATCCACCATAAAACATCGTATTAGTAGAACTGGTTCAATTGGACAAGATCATAATAATAATAATAATACAACTGGTAATATGATGATAACTAGTGGAATAAATAATAGTGGAATACAACATCAACAATCCAGTATAAGAAGACCATCAATTATGCAAAAATATATGGGTGAAATTGAATTTACTGGATTAAATCAAACAGCTAGAGTAAGTTGTATCTCTTTTCTTTAAATTGTCTTGTATTGTTATTGTAGAATTGATGATCTTTGATGAAGTTTTGTTCTCTGAGCTGGACTAAACCATTCAGCTCAGAGAACAAAACTCTATCAGAGATCATCCATTTGAGCTACAAATCTTCTCCATCATCTTAAATTGATGATCTCATATGAGATGGATAGTTTGTCATTGATATGATGGATGGTTTGGTATTCACTTTGGAAAGTTTTGCTAAATTGATGTGTTAGTTAATTGATTTCATTTATATTGGTAGTTACTTTTCAGTGTTCTTATGGGTCATTGTAAAGCATGTCACTATTGCTAACATTAATGAGTTTAATTGTTATGTAAGTGGAATAGGTTAACTTTGGCCTATTCATACTGTTCATAATCAGTTTACGTAATCAATGATCGGTATAATTTTATATATATGAATGATGCGAATGATCCACCTGGGTGCTTATTACCTGTATGGTTGCACAACAGGATTGAACTCTACTATTCAGATTGTAGCGCTAAAATCTATACGGTGTCTGATTCTCTTGTGAAGAGCAGGATTGAGTTATACTATCTGGGTTGTCACATGAAAGTCTAGATGGTGTCTAGTTCTCTTGAAAACCAATGTAAAATTACTTTAGCCTACAAGCAGTATATCAATAAACTGTTTGATCTTCTCAATAGTCATATGGTTGTTTTATCTCAAAGAATAATTTACGAGTTATTATTAGACTCAATAATCATTTCATCAAAGTACATTTCATTGTTATTACTATTATTATTAATGAGTTCACTCGATTATTATAGTTTTGATACAATATACAATTCACAGTAGAAAGTATTTCAATAGGTTCCCTTCACTTATTTCTTGATCGATACTGATGACAAATATTGAAGTGATTGGCAGTGACATGTTAGCAGTTCATCAATTCATATCTGAATGTATATTGTCTGCCTAGCTACATGATGATGATGATGATGATGCTTTGGACGATGATGCTCTGGATGATGATGATGCTTTGGATGATGATGCCTTGGATGATGATGATGATGATGATGCTTTGGAAGATGATGATGATGATTGTACTTTAGTGTAAGCTATACAATGAAAGATTGTAAACTATTCATAAACACACCTGGATAGGGTATAAGACTAATAGACATAATGATGTATTTAAACAAAGTATTTTTTCAACAAATTCTCTCTTCTTAATTCCCGACGATCCTGACGATAAATACTAAGTGATCCCCGAATGTTTAGTAATGATTAGTTCTATGATCCACTATAGTGAAACATTCAATATAATTCTATTACTTACTTACTTAGTTACTTTCTCCTGTTACTCCTTGTGGAGGATCATAGGCCGCCAGTCAGCAGTCCCTATCCAACCCTAATTCTATAGTACAACGTGATTGATGCCTATTTTAACCATAATATGCTCTTACAATGAAACCTTGTTATATTGTATAATTAATGAAATGTATTCTATGTTTCTATCTACCTGATGAACTTTAATTATTTCACAGAGCTTAATGGAATACACATCTACTTAATTAGAACTTCTCATATAGATGAATATAGTTCAATGCGTAGATGGAATAAAGCTATGACCATTATGGAAAATCTAGTTGCTAGGATGAAACAGCCATCTAGTGCTTGTAGGTTTTCATTGATGATCATGGCTTTAATCAATTCATCAATTCAACGATTAAACAACTACTACAATCTCCACGACACTCACCCCCCACTGTTTTTTCTGATCATTTCAATTTATTAGTTTGTTATAAATAAATAAAAATCTTCAAGTCAATCAATTGTCGGATTATTTCTGTGATGTGTGCTACTGATATCGATGGATATCAGTAATATATATCATTAATCGAAAGTGAAATGCCTACCAGCAGAAGGTTAAGACAATCCAAGGAGAGAGAATGAGAATAAAGAATGATTGATGTGGAAACAAAGGAACAGCGAAATCTGAGATAGTTGATTAACATTTTGTCAACTGTTGTTTTTGTATTCGAATACATTCAGTTGTCCTCGTTGATGTTCTCGTTCACTACACTTGTGAAAAGGATTCCATTGAATAATTCATTGACCGGTTCATCAAGTGAAAGAATTTTTTTTCATATTATAATGTAATGATTTTTTTACTTACTCCTGTTACTCCTCGTGAAGGAGCATAAGCCGCCCACCAGCACTCGGAATCCAACCCTATCCTGGGGAATCCTTTCCAGCTATTCCAAGTTGTTATTCATCTTTTTCATATTTGCTTCTATTTCCTGACGTAATGTATACTTTGGCCTTTCTCTTTACCGCTTCCCTTCAGGATTTCAAGTTAGGTCTTGCCTCGTGATGCAGATTTATGATCTGCGTAATGTATGTTCTATCCATTTCCATCATCTTTTCCGAATTTCTTCTTCAAATGGAAGCTGGTTTGTTCTCTCCTACAAAAGGCTGTTGCTGATAGTATCCGGCCAATGCATGTTGAATATCTTGCGTATACAACTATTTATAAATACTTGTACCTTCTTGATGATGGTTGTGGTAGTTTTCCAGCTTTCAGTTCCGTACAGTAGAATTATCTGTCTTGACATTCGTATTGAAGATTCTGACTTTAATATTGGTTAATAAACAGTTGTTTTAAGTTCCATATATTCTTCAATTGTAAGAATGAGACCCTTGCTTTACCAGTCTTCGTCTTTACGTCTACATCTGATCCACCCTGTTCATCGATGATACTTTCCAGGTATATGAAGGATTCTACATCTTCCAGAGTTTCACTATCGATTTTGATTGGGGATTGATGTTCTCCATGTTGTGTTTGAGGACCTTGGTTTTTCCCCTTTTTATATAGCATTTAAAATAGTTAAAATTGTTATTAATCAGTAGTATAATTAACAAATCAGTAGTTTAATCTAAATCATTTATATGAGACAATATTAATTTCAGGGTATAGATTAGATAACTATTTAAGGTACAGTTTTTTTCTTGTTTACTTACATGAATGAATATTCCTTGTCAATCTGTAGTATTGGAATAGAATTCAGTGTGAGGTAAACTTAGTTGTTGTACTTTAGTGCATAAAGGTATAGTATATACTCGACAGGGTTATATATATATATATATATATATATATATATATATATATATATATATCAATATTTGACAGAACAGGATATTCTGGAGGCGGATATTGACAGCCTGTTTGAATATCTGGACCGCCTATTCTTGTTGTCATGAATATATTTCAACAAGTTACTTTTTGTTTAAACACATCATTATTGTCTATTAATCGTATATCCTATTCAAGTATGTTTATGAAAAGTTTACAATCTTTCATTGTACAACTTACACTAAAATACAATCATCATTATCAGACATATCATAGTAGCTGTCAAGCAATATGCATTGTAAATAAGGAACATTATTCAGATGTCGATTGTTAAATTGCTGACATCTAATCGAGGATCATTTAATATTTATCGTCAGGATCGTCGGGAATTAAGAAGAGAGAATTTGTTGAAAAAATACTTTGTTTAAATACATCATTATCTCTATTATTCGTATATACTATCCATGTGTGTTTATGAAAAGTTTACAATCTTTCATTGTATAGCTTACACTAAAGTACAATCATCATCATCATCCAAAGCATCATCATCATCATCCAAAGCATCATCATCATCATCAGCATCATCATCATCATCCAAAGCATCATCATCATCATCATCATCCAAAGCATCATCATCATCATCATCATCATCAGCATCATCATCATCATCCAAAGCATCATCATCATCATCATCATCATCCAAAGCATCATCATCATCCAAAGCATCATCATCATCATCATCATCACCATCATCCAAAGCATCATCATCATCATCCAAAGCATCATCATCATCATCCAAAGCATCATCATCTTATGCCAACATGGGAACCTGTTGAAATACCTTCTACTGTGAATTGTATATTGTATGAAAACTGTAATACTGATTAAAGACATCACTACTACTACTAATAATAATAATGGATGTTCTTGATTCTAACACATTAGATCTATCCAAGTTTATTTCAATCTTACATGGATTACAAAAATCAATTATTCACTCTTTAATAATCAGCCTATTTTCACTTCTAATTAGTTTTGGATATAAAATTACAATCTATGTGAAAATACTAGTTATATAACTTGTGTATGTTGCTTTATAACTTTTTCATTTCATATCAGTTTATACTGTGAAAGTTATCATTTGTATTTCATAACGTTTTTATGAAGTCACGTCTGTATTAGTAGTATTCGTCGTCGTTGTAGTAGTACTAGTAGTACTGGTAGTAGTAGTAGTAGTAGTAGTAGTAGTAGTGGTCGTTTTAGTAGTAGTGTAGTGAAGTAGAACACTGTAGGGACAACCGAACAATGTTTAGCACAAAATTACAGAGTTACTTGGTAAAATAGAAAAATGGTACTATAATGCCTAATATGCAGAATGTTCAATAATTGTCTCGAACTACATTGTTCTTGCATTTTCTCTACTAATTGCTTTCTATTCCTGTTCTTCCTTTCTTGATCTTCCCAATCTTCTGCTGCCAGACATTACATTCCTGATTTGCGTTATATACTACTTGTGTCAATAGCACACACCACAGTAGTAAGAGTAGTAGTGGTGGTAATAGTAATAGTAGTACTAGTAGTAGTAATAATAGTGATATTAGTAGTAATAATAATAATGGTCATATTAGTCGTAGTAGTAGTAGTAGTAGTAGTAGTAGTAGGGCATAGTAACTAACTGTTCCTTCATTATATCCCATTCAACTATCATATTCTCCTTGTCACGTAATTATTGAAATTATTGAAATGTGTTTTACTTTTTACTTTCATATTCATAAGAGAGAGAAACAGAAAGAGAGAGCGAGAGAGAGGGGGGGGGAGAGAGAGAAGAAAAAATCTAATAAAAATTTTACCGACTTTAACTAAATGTTCCTTTCTCAT